ATCGGGCTACAATCAAAATATGGCTGCAGTGTAGCTTTTTCACGTAGAATTGTTAAATATATTAATAATAAACTTCCCTCAGATCGTTATGTATGTCCTTGCTACTACTACCCCCTGCGTAAGGGTGCCTTCGTGGTGGCCGTCGAGTTGTCGTCTGGCAAAGAGAGCTCCGACTTCTGGGTGAAGCGTGGCACCGCCCTGTTGTGTACACTCGCCACTTAGACACGTTTTAAGTTTGAAAATAACTAATTTTGTTGTTTAGTTGATAATCTTTATTACATTTTAAGTTTTCTGTGTGCTTAGTTAGAAATTAAATATTATGTTGAAATAATTGTGTTGGTTTTATTTCAATTCTATTTCTTCTTGGTCATAAACAGCAGCCAGTGAAAATCCACTGGACATGAGCATCTACAGTTTTAAGGAGGATTTACCCTAATCTCACCTCTCTCTTGACGGCTATGCGGGCACGATGAAAATTGCGACGACGATGGCGGTGCGTGTTTTTCTTATAGCTTCCGCCATCTCCCCTTTCTACTTGACGGAGCACGCCGTTTATTGAAGGAACAAAGATGCGTCCACCAGTATTTAGTTCCCTGCTACTAGACAGGCCCGTGCGCGGAAGGAACGGAAGAGAGGGGATTATGTCAGCCAACCCAACTAACAAATACATTAACAAATACGAAATGCAGGGGTGTGCGTGGGCGCAACCAGATTCATTAAGAATCTGCTTAACCTTTTTGGGTTGCTGAGATGCAGATATAGTTTATTAGGACTCGGTTGTAGCTTTTTAGTCAACTTTGGGTTGCTAATATGTAATAGATTTAGATTAACTTTTAAAATATGGAGCGTAAAAGTACTTTCAAAGCTCAAGGTATGGAGTGTAAAGGTAAGGAGAACAATATCTCATAGGAGAATAGTTAATAAGCAATAAATAACAGTTCAAGAACTCTCTACAACAGCGTTGGAGTAGCTACGGGATACAGTTACATAAAATGAACTTAGAAGTTGTCGATGATGTGAAGTGTGCTGCTAAACTGCTCAGTAGCTCCAAAATCTTAAATAATTTTATTTAGTTAGTATAACAAGAGGTAAATTTAAAATTTACCCCGTAGCTATAGTGGCGCCACCCTTATTTAACGGTTTTCTACGGACACTTTTTTAATACAGTCTGTACTCTTTACATCTAAACTCCATATCTCAAGGAATCCGTTCGGATCACTGACTTCTATATATACAAGTACGCTGTATATATAGAGGTCAGTGGTTCAGATTCTCAAAATGTCACCTTTTTTTACTCACTTTACGGCTGTGGGTTCTAGCTCTTCTGAGCATATCATTTCTTTCGGAATCTTCATTTTTATATTCTTTATCTTCACAATATGCTGATGCGTCACATTGCGAAGCTCTTGGGAGATTTTGTGACAGCTTAAGCTTGGGTTAACCAAGCGGACAGTTGATGACAACAGCCACTTAAGTTCATGAGGCGCTCAAGCGACCAAAATAACTTGAGGTTTATACCGAGATCAAATCACTTGTTTTGTCGTTTTCTCTAATATTTAAAACGCGCGGACAATTTTAATTAATAAATCACATCACTTTTACACATTATTCACGCGACAATCCGTATATATATATATATATATATATATATATATATATATATATATATATATATATATATATATATATATATATATACTAAAAAGTATTAAACTAGACTACGATGTAATTTTTTTTTGAATGTAAAAATGTTGTGAGCTCTCCTTAAAAATATTTTCCAGTTATGAGATAAACTTTATTCTAATAATAAAATAAAATTCAAAATGTAATTTTATATATTTTAATTACATCTACATATTTTTTTTGAGAATTCGTTTCATTATTAAATCACGCTTCTCTAAATTAAGAGGATTTAATTTAAATTACGAGTTTCCGCCTTTACATACCTATCGCGTTTACTACATATACTTCAGTTTATTTTATTCGCCGCGTGAGTGCAAGAGACCGTTATAAAAATAATAGAAGGTACAAAAGAAACTTTGTTGTTCGTTGTTTAAATAAAAGGTAAAGAAATTGTCTGTTTTTAAAAGTTATTTGCTTATATTTTTTCTCTTAACAATTTATAAAATTTGCATTTAAAATAATGTGTAGTTAATGTGAGAAATAAAGTAGTCAGAAGTAACTAAAATGAAATGTAAAGTGTTAATTTTCACCACAAACTAATAAGAAGAGTAGCACTCCACTATAAATCATGTAAAAATATATACAAATTTTTATATTCTACAAGGCCCAATGTGCGAAACTTACGTTTTGTGTTGTAATTCTGATATATCGTGAATATTATGATATAAAATGCATAAAATCTATTTTTAAAGATCAGTTTACTCTCTGAAACTTTTATTTCATTTTTTTCTAATGTCCATACTTTTTGAGTTATAGGACTTTTAATGTTAAAAATGAGTTTATGCATTTAATTGATTAATATTTCAAGAGTTATTGGCCGCCATAGAAAAACGCGAAAAAAAAATCATTAAATGGGCCATAAATCGTAAACGGTAAGTTTTACAATAAAGTTTACCTGAAACAAAAGATGCGAAATTTTATTTTCTACAATAATGGTTTCCATAACTTTTTCCTTAAAGTGCATAGTTTCCGAGATATCGGCTGAAAACTTTATTTCAAGATGGCGCTCGAAGCGCCACCTGGATCTGCCAGCGTTGTTGATTTTATGCTCAGTGAGTGATCCTAAACCTTATAAACAATAAAATTGGATCGGAAATTTATTGCAAAGTTAGATTCAATTTTTACTGTACTATTTCATTAACATTTTATTTATCAACAACGTCTTACTATCGTCACTTCTCTAGCGCTTACGTGACCTTCATACAAATAATTCGATATTTTAATTGTTGATAATTTTTATTTTTGGACAAGAACAATCTAAACTATCTTTTATGAACTATATGTTTGTCTATAGTTCATAAAAGATAGCTTGATCTCTGCGACAGCTGTCAGTAAAAATCACGCCTATGAAGTCCAGAATTTCTTAGTAGTACAGACAGTACCTGTAGTTTACAGTACAGTACTTTATGGGCATGCACTAATTAGTGTATTAGTAACATTGAGTTATAATGTACTTACGTACTAGAAAAGCTATTCAAAACAAAAAATGTGCGCTACTCTACGTCTTCGCGCATGCGCGGGAAACAGTAGAGTCCCGCATGCGCAGTTGATAAACGCGCATTGCGCCTGCGCGGTCAGTTTTTGTTATATAGATTATACGTAAGTAGAACGGTCAGTATGTACTAATTGTTTATTTAGATACTAGTTTTTTCCGATTTTAAAACTAGTTTAATATAATATAACATAATATTATGTCAGAATTACATTTTAAGGGTATTTTATTTAATATTTAAAAGGTAAATATGTGAAATATAAAAATATACATTTAATATCAAAGATCATTAGCAGTAGTATTACTTTTAATTACAAATATATTAATTTATACTAAAGTAAGAGAATATTAAGCATATGTGCTAACCATTTGCACGGTATACCGTTTTGCCGGCTTAACATACATGCTTACTTGTGCAAATTAGAATTTGTGCAAGTAAGTTTGAGCGTGTAGCCGGGCCAACAGTTGAGTGTCACCGTTGAAATTGTGCAGAGCAGATAAAATAATATTTTGTAAGAAGCCACGTATCTTCGTTTCTATTACGTGTGTACTTACTCGGGTAATAAATGAAAAAGTATTTAAACTGTAAAAATATTTTAATTTCCTTTAAATAATATAAGTTTAATTGAGAGATCAAACTGTTGATTACTTAAAGTACTGAAGTACCTAAGTTATGGAATTCACTGTTCCTGATGAATCTTGAAACGATCTTAAATTCAAAACTTCATCACATAGAAGTAAAGCTTATGTTACGCTCATACTCAGCAGCTGTGTTGCAAGCTTTACTTTCATAATCTGTTGTTGAAAATGTATATGACAAGGTGTTAACTTATTTCCGAATCTAAGACCTTCATTTTGCTGAAGCTTATTAAGATTTATTAGTAGTTACTATTTGATTTGTTTGTCATTATTATTGAACAACAGTCTTTTCTTCTCGAATGTGTTCATTATTAGTTTTAGAACATGGCAAGGGTCTATGAAAATGCAAACTTTTTCTCCCATGCATGGATGAGGAAAATAATTCTTCATATTATTGACATAAGATACTTTACATCCCGAAATTTCAGCTGCACCGAAGTTTGCAGAACTACCATCAAATGTAAGACTTACAACTATATACGCCAACCTCATGGCGTTTTTGGCTATGCAAGCATATTTTATTAAATTTGCCTTTGCAACCAGCATAAATACTAAAGCTTGCGTTGCCAGTTGTCACAGTCTCATCTTCTTCAGCTTGTATAGGACCTGCTCCAAAATTAACTGCACCCAAATTTGATTGTTGTGATGTAGTTTCTGTCTCCTTAAAGCTATTTCGTCAAACACTAATGAGCAGAGTACAGATTTATTGGAATTTGTGTTAGATTGGGATTTCGTTTTTAAGCTGTAAAGGATTCTGTTGTAGAACCGGGTTCTGCATTAACCGTTGAATACCGTCTGCAAATTGTCCGAGGATGTGGGTAAGCTTTATTGTAGCATTCTCTAACGTATTTATATGCAGCAGGTGAATAATAGTGTAAAGTTAATGCGAATTTACGTAAAGGTGCAGTGTATAATAAATAATGCGTGCTCAGTTTTCATTAAAGATATATGTAACTCCAAAACTTCTGCCTTCATTAAATCAATCTCAGCATTTAAGTTGAGACCAAATTATGTTTCAAATTTTGTACAATTGATTTGTAAGAAACACATTTTTTCTTAAGATAGATATTTTGTCTTTGTATTTTCTTAAATTTTTCAGTAAGTTTCTTTCTAGCTGCAGATTTCTTGCGTTATTTATTTTTAAGTACAATTTTTCTCGGACTATCAAAAATTGAATTTGAACTGCTTACTGATTCAGACAACGGCTCTGATACTTCCTATTCGCCACATTTTGTTGGCTGAAAAAAAAAGAAGATAATAGTGATTTAGGAAACCCGTAAAAATTCTAGCGTAACAATTTTAAAAACTGCCATATACTAGTATGACTCGCGTGCCGACAATTCCGCCTCTCTTAAGTCCCGTAAATATACTGAATATTATAAAAACATCGTTCGGCGTCTAATGACAAAATATAACAAAAATACCAGCAATGTTATATAACAATATAATTACATTATCACATGGTACCGTGGTAAGAAATCTGCAATTTCTTTAAGAATACTCTTCCTGTTTTTGAGGTATATTTGTCGTTTTCTTTGAAATGCACGAAACATATGAGTGAATAATCTGACGGTAACCACGTTTCTTTGCTGCGATTCTTCTGAACAAATTTGATCCATGATTCTCTTGTGTCGTGACACGGCCGAGGAAACCTATAAATCCAAATAATAAAAAAGTATTAATTTTAATGCATTAACATTTCCTACCGTGATTATATATCAATAATTTACTGTCCATAATTATTTAACATTATACGTCGATAGTGTCAATTCTGCGCATAAAAATGTTTTACTCTTTGACATTCACGTATATGTTACAGTTGATAATATATAATTAAATTAAGCGTGTTTAAAGATAATATAACTTACTGGTGAAAAGTCACTTCTTAACTTTTACTTATGTTTCTCGAGTTGTTTGAACATTATCTCAATGCACACGAAGGCATATTAATTTAAAAACAATTCTTCACTCAAACGTCTCACGTTGCGGCAACTGCTTGACACAGACTAAGTGAGTTGGAGTGCGTGCGCTCTAACGCGTGTTACAAACATTCGAGTTGAGGCGTCTTCTCTAGTACGTAGTACATTATAACTCAATGAACTATAATTGGTTTAATAAACTGACATTGGTACAAAACTTTAAGCAAAATTGTATCTGTAATATACTACACGGAGATATTATATATTATATAATATTTCCGTTATTCAGCAATTTTACCACTAAAACAGAACTTTATTAACATTTATATCATCTTATTCTAACTCAAAATTTAGCCAAAACATTAAGAAGTAGTTATTACATATATTTTAAAAGTCCTCCCCCAAGTAATGCCACAAAGCAAGGTTCTAAGCCACCTGCATCCATCGACTTCCTGCATGTCTTACCAGGTCGTCACTCCATCTAGTGGGGGTCACCCTACACTACGCCTACCGGTACGAAGCTGCCACTCGAGAACCTTTCTTCCCCATCGGTTATCGGTTCTTCGAGCTATATGGCCGGCCCATTGCCACTTCAGCTTACTAATCCGTTGGGCTATGTCGGTCACTCTGGTTTTACTGCGGATATCCTCATTTCTGAGTCTATCACGCAGAGGCAAAACATCTTTCTGGGATACTTAGCCCTAGGTAGATGTCACGTTTTATTTTTAAGCAGCTGTCTGCTTAAAGTTCACTTTGTTAAACTATTATATAGTGTAAAACTTTTTGTTTCCCTAATTTATTAAATATTTTCCAGACAGTTCGTTTAATAACTCTTGAAAATCAACAACTATTTTTAATTAGAGGCTTTGTGGATGAAGCCTTATAATAAAAACAAAAACTTGGTTAACACCATCTAAGACGATAAACTGATTGGCCTTTTCTTTTCAAACAATCTGATTTTTAAAATAAGTTAACTAAACCTATTTCGATTTTTTAAATGTTTAAAAAAAATTCCTGCATAATGTAAAATAAACCTGTAGCAAAATAATATACATTTCTAAATACTTTAAAAAAAGAATTTCAAATAACACCTTGTCTTTTTCTATGTATTACTAATAATCAAATAAAAACTTATGCGGAATATGGTGATTTGTGTATCGATAAAAAAACATCGACATAGTCCATGCCTTACGTTGCTTACGCATTTAGGCAGCGCCATCAGTGTATAGACACGTGTACAATTTGATGGTATGCGTAAACGCGATGAACACAAAGACAAATGTTGTAGTGTGCGTTTATAGTGACACGTTTTAATTTTGCATTTGTAGTTAAGTTTACAGTTGTGTGTTTTCTTGCGCCCCCCCCCCCTGATGTCGACAGAATTTTTGTTTAGGAATTAACGCGCATGGCCTCTCCAGTTGGTTGAATACTCAAAGGGTGAAGCAGACGCGGGCAGGCGATCGGTGCACGGGCGATGTCATTCGCGTGTCCGGCTAGTGCTAGCAATTTATCTACTCGACGAGTACGACGACGACGAGTAGGGATGGGCAAATGAAAAACTATATCGATATATATTGTATCGATATTTTAAACATTATCGATATATTCACGTGATGAATATCGATATATCGTCACGTTTTGCATATTGTAGTACGATAAGGCTCAAAATGAGGATACTGGACGGTTGAATGACAAAAAACGACAACGACACATGAATGTTTTTGTAGCTTCTTTTGTTGCTTAATATTTTGTCGATTAATACAACATTTTAAAATATATCGAAATTAATACGAATTCGATACTCCACGATAAATATGAAATATCGATATATTGCGATTTATAAGTATCGACGATATATGATTATATATTTTAAGTAAATATCGATATGTCGTAGATGAATACGTCTACGTAGTATACAAATATATTGTAATTGATTGATATAACCAGCGTTTATTTATAAAATAGTTTCAGATAATAATTGGATGCACCAAAAGAGCCTTCTCGTGTAGCGATACCTATATTATATTATTGACAGGTTGGACGTGATACGACTTATACCTATGCCTATAGATGCTAACTTACGAGTCGACGTATACACTTACTTTTCAACATGAAAATAAACTACATACCTACCGAGGTATGTACCTAGTTTATTTTCATGTTTCATTATTTTATTTGGACACTATTGTCCAATGCCCTTCTTGTAAACTAATAAGTACCAACAAATATTTTTTTTATAATTTTTATCCCAAGCGTCTTGGACGATGATGTCCAAATAAAATAATGATGAATTACTTTTCAACATAAAATAAACTAGGCAGGCTAGGCACACTCAAGTGTTTTTACTAGTATTTTTAAATATCGTTACCCCCAAACTAGGATTTTCTTCCGTATTGTGGAGGCAATTTACAAACATAAATTGCACAAGGACTAACATCTAAACCCGAAACAATTATTTGTAGGCCATACAAATACTTGTTCCGTGTGGGATTCGAACCCGCGGTCCCCAGCGCAGCCACTGATTGCCAAGCCAGTGCGCCACGGAGCCGTCACTTCTTCAATGTATATCTGTTACATACGAGTTCCCTCAAACCTAACGTGTACATACATCCCACTTTAGGCGGGACAGTCCAGATTTAAAGGTTTGGGTCCCGTCCCGCTGTCACCAAAATACGTAAAAATGTCCCGCTTTGACAAACAAAAGCGTAGCATCATACAAACTCGGTCACCCGTACCTTCATTATGACACCGCGCGGTACCTGGTTTGCCGGCATGGCCTGACTAGTTACGTGATTATTCTGAAAACCTACACTTTTGCACTTAAAGTTACGAAGTGACAATTTTTAATTAATCTACAATAAATTATCAAATAAGAAAACTTCTTTTAAATCGCACGGTGGTGTACCGCCAGACTTCCAGATGGTATGGATGGTATCGCGAGTTTTGTTGCGTTGTGCGATGGTGAAATTGTGCAGCCGGAATTAGTCCGAACAATTTCTCAGAGCACTCCCCGCGGTAGATGCGACAAAATACGCAGAGATGCAACAACTCTTCGCAGTGCCAGTGAGTCAAGCCGATCGGAAAGAGCTCGGTCGTCGACTATTCGAACTGCTCTGCGCTAGATGAGATCAAATAGAAGGAGCTGGCATTGGGGAGCCCCAGCCCAGAGATGGAAACGGTATTCCAAGCCGGTGTGAAATATTGTCCCGCTCTGCTGAGCACTCCAAGCGTTTTAGAGGCCAATTTGGCCTTCTCTTCCAAGTGGCTACGAAACTGCACGTCACTCGATATGTCGACGCCGAGGATTCCGATACTGGCTGAGGTAACAAGGCACATATTACGACATATTACACATAAATACAGTGAATGCACTGGCATGTGCATATTTAAAGATTATATTGGTCGAGTTGCATGGACCTAGAGGGAAGGTCACTCTAGTATCAAACTATCCTTATCTAACACATTGAAATGCCTTATCAGTGATTAAGCACATATTAAACATTATTCAAAGTGCTTAAAGCGATAAAATGTTTTTAATTATTTATTTTTATCGTATTAAATAGCCGATTACTATGTAATGCATGACTCAAAGTTAATACAAATAACCTTCCTTTTTTCTTTCTTACTCAGAAGTTAGCATCTAATAAAATTAATTATTTCTAATATTTAATTTGTAAGAAACATTGAAAGACTTAATGAGATGTTTATCTCGCGTCGCCAACAGTCTCCCCCTTGTGTGTCAGCACGATTATTTGGGACGCGTCGCAGGTACCAAAACCATCAGCAGGATGTAGGTCTCCTTAGAATACCTGTGTTAGTGATGACTTCCACAACTCTAGTGTGACCATCTTTTCCTGGTAACGTCCGGTAAATTTTACCTCGCGGCCAGGTGTTGCGTAGTAACGAATGATCTATTAAGACAATAACTAAGTTAAGACGATATCGCCCACTTGCGGTTCTATAAACCTGCCATTATTACCTGAGGTACTGTGAGGTATATATACTCTTTCAGCCATCTCGACCAAAAATGATCAGCTAACTTCTGAGCAGTCTTCCAGCTGGGTTGACCAATTAAATGTTTTTCCATAAACTGTGGACTATCTCCACATGAACGTCCGAGAAGAAACTGATTAGGAGTTAAACCCTCTTCAGGACTATCCATATTTAATGAAATTAATGGTCGCGTATTGACCGTATGCCTCTAAGAGCAACGTGTGTAAAACTTCTTCTCGCGATCTTCTTTCTTTAAGCGTTGCAATCAACGCAGTCTTAATTGATCTTATTAATCTTTCCTAGGCTCCCCTTATATGTTAAATGGGGGGAGCCTGGAAAATATAAAGCGAAGAATATCTCTGTTTTCTTCACGAACCTTTACTTGAAGAAACATCTCTTTTTCTTCAATTAATATCTGTCTTCACTGCCACGCTTCCTAATCGGAATCGCAATAAAACACCGAATAATGATTTTATAAATCAACGTCCACTTAAGAAAGCGTCGTTGAGACCCCGTCCGCCCGTTCTGGCGGCCGCATCAATCACAATTCTAATTTTCTTTTTCTGTGGATGTGTCACTGTGAAATGAGGAAGATACCACGTTGTGTGCGGAAATGAAAATATGGGACGCATTCTTAATTTCGTAACTACTAACGATGAGATTATCGATTTTTATTCCTTTTTTGAATCTTCATTTTAATCGAACTT